CGCCACCGCAAGTGTGATAGACTGTCCCCAAAGTGTGCTCTGTACGCGACACACAATGTCGTCTTGACAAGGCGGCTTCTTGGCTCGAAGCAAGTCGTTGATCTATCGTCTAACGACAGCCATCGCGAATGCTTGTTTCCATCCACTCACCAGCCAGTAGCGCAGTCGTGAGCGAGCCGCGCTGTACCAGGACGACGAGCCCTGCATGCATCTGCGCGTTATGTTGCTCCCGACTTTGCCCTCGTGACAAAGGGTTCAAGACTTGGGATAGGCTAGCTTAGTCCGAGTAGTTGCCACCCACGAGAATAGACACGTTCGTGATTAAAGGAAGTCGAGGCCAAGCCTGCACGAATGCTGTGAGCGCATTTATGGCACACGCGCCGCACTTCACCGCGTTCTCCCACGTGATCTCTGCCACACCGCTTTCACGCAGGCCAGATCTCACCTCGCAAACCACCCATGATAGCAGTCATGCATCTAAACATCAATTGCGGTTTGCTTTTTTTTTGGCAGTGTGCTCGCATCTACACCGACAGACGCCGTACGCTTTTCGCGCTCACACCCTAGTTGTTACCCAGGTGCTTGTTGAGCGCAGCGATGCTCATACTCTTGGGGCGCTCGATGGGCAGACCGAGAGCGCGGTCCATGACGAGTTGAGGCAGAGCTCCAATGGCGCGGGAGATACCGAAAATGACAGTGTAGTAGCGGAATTCGGAAAGACCGTACTCATGGAGCACACATCCGGAAGCGGCGTCGACATTTGGGAAGGGGTTTGCAGTCTTTCCGTGCTCCTTCAGCACGCCGGGAGCGACCTCGGAAACCTTCTTCACCAGCTGGACGATGGAAGATTGTTGCAGCTCGGGTCTGTCATCGCAGAATCGGCTCAGGGCTGTGAAACGAGGGTCTGGTCGACGCAGAACGGCGTGTCCGTAACCGGGAACGACACGGCCGCTCTTGAGCGTGTCCCAAAGGTACTCTTTGATCTGCTCGTGGGAAGCGTTGGGGCCAACCTTGTCTTGCATGCCAAGGGCCCATCCGAGCACTTCCTGGTTGGCAAGACTGCGAAAGTGCAGACGCGGTGCGTGTAAGCGTGTCTCTATAGAGTCCCATGCTCGTGCAACACTTATGCTCACCCGTGAAGAGGACCAGCGAGACCGAGAAGAGCAGCAGAGTAAGACAAGTAAGGGTCGGAGAGGGCACTGCCAACCAAGTCTGTTGCGTCGCGTTCCACAGAAAGGCACGATCAGCTGCCATATTCTTTGCTCTGCTCGACACACGATGCTACTCACGAGCAGTGTGGGCAGACACGTTACCACCCTCGTGGTCACCGTGAATGGCAATGTACAAACGGAGGTAGTCGGTCAGACCCTCGTTTCCACCGTAGCCAATCATCTCGGCGTAGTTGCCGATCAAGTCCTTGGAGGTGTCAATCTTTTGCTGGCCGTCACCCTTTCCGAATACATTGTAGTAGATGCGGGCTGCGACGGCGGGCAGCTTGGCCACCAGGTCGATGGAGTCCTCCAGAGTGGGCTGCCAGTATTCCGTCTTCTTGATGCCCTTGGTGTATGCAGCTGCAAAAGCGCTGTCGTGGTTGAGGGCACCGACAGCAGCAGCGAATTGGGTCATGGGGTCTGCAAAGCGTCCGGTATCATGCACGTCAGGACTCCCGCCTACATGGCACACTCGCAATTGTCGCACTCACGCAAAGTCTTGGGGAAGCTGTCGATGATCTTCTCGACGTAGCTGGGGAGCTTTCCCTTGGCAGCGAGCTCAGCAGACAGCTGCTTCACCTCCTCATTGCTGGGCACGTTGCCAGTCAAGAGAAGCCAGAGCATAGACTCGGGTACTGCAAGCGCGTACATCGTTAAACAGGCCGAGCGCAGAATAGATGCAGCCAACGCGCGCACTCACGCATCTCCTTGCCTCCGAGACCAAGATCTTTGGCGTTGGGCAGCTCCTTTTCGCAGTCTGGGATAGTCTTCCCGTGGAAAGTGATACCAGTGTTGGCGTCCAGGACGGAGCCTTCCCAGAGCATAATCTTCAATCCTCTCATACCACCCAAAAGGTTCGACACCTTGACTTCACCCAGGCTCTTATCGGCAGAGCTAGACTTGAGCTGAGCCAGCTCCTCGCGCTTCTTGGGAATGACCTCTCCGACGGCTTCTGTGAGGGTCTTGACTCCTCGAACGCTGCCATTAGCAGCGGCAGCGAACTGCCTGGATGGGGCAGCGGCCCTCAGGGCGACGCGTGGGATGGTGAGGGAGATCATCGTGGAAGTGGTGCGTTGTATGCGTGTGGAAGTGTATGATGGAGGAGGTGGAGATGGAG